TCACACTCTCATTCTCATCCACCGGCCTGGTAACGCGTTATCCTGACGTGTCACAACGCGTCGATTCGAAAAACGAAAGAGGAAAGAGAGAGAGAGAGAGAGAGAAAAGAGAAAAAAGAGCGTTCGTTGGAATAGCAACATTCTTTTTATACGCGAAAGCGGCGAAATGAGAAGCGAAGAGAATGAAAGAGAGAGAGAGAGAAAAGGAGGGATCCAGGTCATGCTAGGCCGTCGAGCGAATTTGATTCCACAGAGCGCTTGTTCCGCCTCGAACCATCCTTTTCATCCCCATACCGACTTCAATGTCAAACACTTTACATCTGCGCGTGACAGACTCATCGATTCCCCGCTTATTCCTTTCCGCTCCGCTTTTTCTCAGTCCCATAAAAAAAGGATATGCACGTATTGGAGTACACGCGGATCGGTGATGATTTTCAATTAAACGTTGCGCTCGCCTCGATCAATCTCGTTGTGAATGCAAGATTCACACGGTTTCTTCGTCGTTGCGAATCCTTCGAGCGACAAAAGAGAAATTGGACGATATTCCAATGATATTTCAAAATGGAAATCGATTGATATTTTTTTATCACTCGTATTATTCGTACAATAGATTTTCACCATTGAAATATTCATTTGAATCATCGATGTCGCTCGAAACATTGCGATTAGAAAATATACCGTGTATTTAATTTTACTGTTAATTTACAAGATAAGACACTATATAGAAAGTTATATTCTTTTATTATATTATCGCAATTAAGCAAAGGAAGCAAGTCTAATGTAACCCAAGTACGTTGGTATTAGTCTTTCACCGATAACTAATAACAGGTATTGTTCCCTTTTCAAGAGCATGGTGTTCGATAAGAAAGAAAGAAAGAAAGAAAGAAAGAAATTCATTTCTTCGCGTTTCTATTTCAAGTCGGCCAGTCCCGCGAAAGCACGAAAGCACAATAGTCCCGCGGAGGACAAAGGGAGTATCAATCGCGGCGTCCAACCAACGAAACCGTAAAATGCGCCGCCACACCCCACCATCGTGATGAATTTCTAATCCTTGCAACTTTTTCCTCCAACAGGGAAAGAAGTAAAAATGGAGGAACGAATGGTGTATATATATATATATACATACACTTATTCGTGAAAACGGTGACACGTCCTTATTGAAAAGAATCCAAGAAGTTCCTCCATCGAAGGAGGGGTGGATTTTGGTAACCAATAACTCGGATCCCTCGCGGATGTAATCTCTCTTTTCTCATCTTTCGCTCGGCCATTTCTCTCTATCTTCAAAAGGAACGTCTGAGAATGGAATACAAATGAATAAGGGGGATTTTCTTTTTTTTTTTTTTTTAATTTTAATTCTTGCCACTGTTCTATTTCGGGATTGTAGATGATAGGGATTGCTCGTATCGATCAAATTTTAAACGTGTGTGTGCCAATTTTAAAAATTGGGGCACATGTGTTTCCACCGATACGGCTATTTTCCGATACGGGGCACACTCTCACGTTACACGCTCTCAATTTTTTTCCCTACCGTAATCTATATCTTTATTTATGTATATAGTAAATTTTAAACGATAATGACGAAACTGATACAAGATAATCTTCTTTCCTCCTTCAAATTTATCATGCTCGAATCTCTTATTTCCTCCGATACTTTCTCCCATTGAAAATTATTATCTTAGATAATAAATGATTTTCTATAAAAAGAAATATTTCACAATCCCACGATTAGTTTCGATAGCTCTTAAACGATTGATAAATTAGTAATTTCGTGTATAAAATGCAACGTGCAAGGAATATTCACCCGTAACCCCCTCTCCTCGAAAGGGTCAAACTCGATTAACCGCGAGGGAAACACGAGGGGTGTAATGTATTCTCTGTCGTCTGCGATATTATATTTCCAGACGGAAGGATAGGTTATACTCCGTTATGCTCGTGCTTCGTCGTTTAATCACGGCCGTGCAATTCAATTAAGAGCATTCTGAAAAATGTAATTTTTTCCCCTCCATATTCGCGAGAGAGAGGATGAGACAAGCGGAATGCAATTATTTAGAGGGTGCCGGGGAGATGTAATCGTTTTCTCGGCTTCGCGCTGACGCCGCGCTTAAAGAGTGGGATCCCTCCCCGAATCCGGATGAAAAGAAGAAGGCGCGGATGGAAAGAACGTAATTGGGTCGGGACAAAACCGGCGTGTACACGGCTTCTTCCGCCATTTTCCTTGAATTTAATCGTAGCTTCGACAAAAAAAAAGAATTTTCTCGAGTCGATCGATGATGAAATCGTAAAAGAAATCGAGTCGATAAGTTTCGCAAGTTTGTTCATTACAGAAGAGCGTGGCACGCGTAGAGCATCATCCACGTCGTTGATCCATAATTGAAATTGTTGGCGAATCGAATTCTCTGAGTGGCGCGATTTAAAATGGCCAAGATCCCGTTCGATCGGCATGGGATCGTTCTAGTTAAACGCGCGAATCGTGCGAATATTTTATCCCCATGGATTGATTCGCACCGCCACGAAATACCTGAATTTTTCAACGGTATTCCATCCAACATTCTCTTCCAGTTGACCAACGGATACGTCTCTTCCCTCAAACCGATCTTATTATTCATGATTTCATGAATTTTCATTCTCCTCCGGGCTCGAGAGATTGCTCGTTACTTCGCCCGTGTGGAAGGATGCGTGGAGGAGGCTTGTTCGAGGTGGTGGACAGGAGGAAAGGAATGAATTCTTCATTAAGAAAGCCGTGAGTGGTAAACGCACGGTCGAGAGAGATGGAAAGGAAGAGAAAAAAGAAGAAAAATATATATATATATACTGTGAAAATCGCGTGTGGAAGGGAGAGAGGAAGGGGTGGCCCAGTAACGTTTGACGTCACCACGACAGACCTCGCCTCGCCCTTCCTCCTCTCTTGGCAAGAATGGAGGCGGCGTGACCAGGTGACCGATAAAACCGAACCCTCGACGGTTTCAAGGATGCGGAAGAATCGACCTCTCCAGTCGCGTCCACCGATCATCCGAGGAAGATTTGTCTCTCGATGGAAGATCAAACGAGACTTTCTCGCAGATCATAAAAGCGGAAGAAGAAAAAGAAAGAATTGTAATCGATCGCGAATTTTCGACTCTCATGGAATTTCCTCGCGTCGAAACGGCTCGTTATTCCGCGTGTTTGCGCGATAACACGCTCGACGGGTGCTCTCTACTCTTTTACACTTTTCGTCGCCTTTCACCGACCTCGACTCGGGATAAAGAGGATAAAAAAAAAGGAAAAAGCGGGCAGACCGGTTAGGTGTCGGATTTTTCGAGACTTTCGAGGGCGTAACGGCGTTATGAAAGCCCGGGAAAACGGCAACGACCGCGAAAGAAGAAAAAAGGAGGAAGGGAGGGAGAAAGATTAAACGGTTACCGGTTGAAGAAGATTGAAGTTTACACTCGCTAATCGTTTCTAAGATTGTGAAGGAGGGTTTTCGAGTAATCCGAAGCTCTAAAGTAGGGAGGATTAAGCGTCTCTGGATCTGATTTCGGGACGACGAAATCATCGATCGCGTCGCGAATTACGTGAAATCGTGAGATAAACCCAATTCTCGTTCCCGTTTAACTATCACGTATATCCCCTCGAGAGCTTCGTTATTTCTGCGGTAAATGCGGCAAACAACAACGAATGGAACGTACTCGAGTAGAGAACGGAGAAGGATGAAATGAGACACCGAGTATCAGCAGGGGACACAATGCTTTATAAGAAGATCTAAATCGGTTTCTCGTGTGATAAAGTCCGAAACGAGCGTAGTAGCCTCGCTTTGCTTCGATTACCACGAGATATTCCATTGTATCTATTACACCGCCCTCTAACGGATCTAAGAATCGAAATGTTCGTTTCGATTCTTATTCTACTCTTCCATTCGTTTGTTCTTAACTGCCTTATTCGCGACTCCCAAGACGATTCCATCCGCCTCGCGTTCTCTAACCACCCCTGCTCCGTGTCAACGAATAACGAAACTTATATATAAACCAAACGAATATACTTGGCTCGTCGGCTTAATTGAAATGCAAATGGGGACGCCTTACAGCGGCCTGTGACGAACAAGTTATTTCATCCCGCCCTGTCCACCACCCATTTTATTCCGCCGAGTGTTTCAAGGAAAGGCCAACGGCGTAAATTAAATTGAATTAGACTTTAACGCGCGCATAATGCTCGAGTCGTTTCGTTACGTTCCAGCCACGGCTTTCACCAGCGCAACGGCTCGCATTGTGAGCCAACGTAACCCAGTTCTTCTCGCCCCAGCTATCGCGTAACCGCGTAAAAATTGTTATTGCGGGGAAGCAACGATCGACGAAACAAAAATCTTTCGCGGAGCGGAGAAAATTACGAACGTTCGTCCATTCGTCGGGGGAAAGGAGAAAGGGGGGAACCAAGCGTGATCCCATATTTCGTTGAATCGAAGCAATTCGAGCAACTTTCACTTTTTGCGCACGGAGAGGTATTTGAAAAGTCGAATCAAGTTCTGCTCGAAGAACGTAGAGGATTTCGCGACAATCGCGAAACAACACGATTAATCGTATCGATGATCGAGAAAAAGGGTGACTGAGATTTTCGTCGAGTTTATAGTAATATTAGGAGTGCAAATAAGTTCCTTCCCCTTTTTCTCTACGATCGTAACTTTTGATTGAGTTCGAATTACGAATCACTCGTTTGAAATGCCATCCGAAAGAGCGTTGTTCGTTTTTAAGAAGAGTCGCGATGACCGTTCTAAGACCTTTCATTAGAGAAAACTCTTAAAGATTTAAATTTGAAAATTTTAATTCGGAAGACGACGATAAGATTAGAGAAATCGCTCCAAGACGAAATCTTGGATAATAAAATCTTTGGAAGAAAGAACTTATTTGCACCCACAATACAAATCTTCTCCCTCAAATTACCGGTACAACTCGATGAAAGAAAAGCTGATTCGAATCATTTTCAGATGAATCGAGATGAACGCTCGTTGAACGTGGCTTCTCGATGGTTTCTGTTCCAGCTCTCGGAGGACATCGGCTACGTCCTTTACTCGGCGCTCGGCAGCTTCTACATCCCCTCGTGCATCATGGTGTTCGTGTACATACGCATTTACTTCGCGGCGAAGGCGCGGGCGCGGCGGGGCATCCGGAAGCCGCGTCCCCGCGCTGTGGTGCCGCCCGAGTCGCCGGACGTGAGGCAGACGAGCTTCACGCAGAGCACGCCCGCCACCGAGGCGAAGAAGCCACCAGGCTCCGCCATGGAGAACGTCGCCACCATCGAGAACCAGCCCGTGCAAATTCCCATCGTCACGTGCGACTTCGCCAGCGACGTCAGCACCTCCGAGGCGGATCCCGGAGGGGGGAGCAGTATCCCCATGGAGGAGAAGGACACGCTCAAGGTTGACAATCGTTCGATATTATCTTCTTTCGAGAAATGGTCGAGAAAGAGAGAGGCTGTTGATTCTGTTCGATTCTACTTTAGTCTAATTTTCAATTTCAATGAAAATATCAGCGATGTAAGGACGATTCGGATAATTTCGATGTGCTCTTGTTACGAAGGAGGAGTTGTTCGAACGAAAGCGTAATGGCAACTGGTCTATGGGAGGAGGAAATGAAAATATCCCGTCTCGCGTTATGTTATTCTCCTACGTCATATTTCACACGAGTGTAACGCGACACGATATTGTCAACAAATATTATTCCTCGTTATCCCGGAATACGAAGAAATAATACGTCTCCGTTCGAGCTAGTTGTTCGAACATGTTTATATATATATATGTGCCGAATATTTATATCTTATTTTTCCCTCTCAATTTTCCCCATCCATTCCGTAACGTCAAACATCTTACCAGCCCTTTCCTTTTCTAAGTGGTAGCGGATTCTCGAGCCTCGAAGACACGCAAGACACCTGTCTCCGCGCTCGTATCCCGAGTGCACTTACCCAATAACTTCAGTTTCGTGGCGGGAATCTGAATAGATCCGGTTTGACGTTACAGTCACGAACCTCCTCGAGATCCTCGTGCAACGCATAAAAGCGGACTCCGTGAATCTCGGAAATTCGCTACTGGATTTCGTCCTACACCGATTCTTCTTTTTTATCGTAAATTCGAATTCATCCGATATCCTTCGTAGATTCGTAAATATTATCGAGGTTACAAGCATCTAAACGTTAAACGAGGATTTACAAGTGAATCTCGATTATTTCAATCGCTGGTTCAGCTGTGCAACCAAGCGTATAATCGTTTGTTGATCTAAGTTATATCCCGTTAGCTTAGACGAAACGCACGGACGTGCTGAATTTCACTTTTCTCGGGCTTGGTCAGATTCGTTACAGGAATTTACTCGGTCATCTCGTTATCCTACATTTTATTGTTATAAATACGTGTATTTAGTACATTCTAGGAACTCTAAAATAAAATATAATATATATTACGTAGATTTTCACCGATTAAGGGATTGAGACGGAGATAAAATTCGACTTGTAATATATATTCTCATTTTGAATATCGAATATTCCAAGTTGATCGGCAATCTTCTTAAATATAAATAATACGAATAAAATTTTCCTCTACGATTCCCGAAAATTTCCATCATCCGTCCGTTCTTTGAAATGGTACGAATCTGTTGGACAGGTGACGATGCCGGTTCCGGTGCAAAAGAGCAGCCTGAAGGCGACGCTGTCCGTGAACGGTGACGGGCAATCGAGCGTCCCGTCCCGATGCAGGGCGCCCAGCGTCGGTATCGACGTCGACATGGTGTCCGAGTTCGATCCGTCGTCGTCGGACAGCGGCGTCGTTTCGAGGTGCGCCGTCGTCAAGCCGCTCAAGCTTCGCCTCTGCCAGCCCATTTTCGGGCGAAGGAACATCGGCAAGCTGAGGAGGGAGCACGGGGACGGGGGCCGGGCGTCCGGCAAGGACGAGGCGGGCGTCGAGGCCAAGTCGTCCAAGCCGCGGGACCCGGAGAGAGAGAAGAGGAGACTGGCGAGGAAGAAGGAGAAACGAGCCACCCTGATATTGGGCTTCATAATGGGCAGCTTCATCGCGTGCTGGCTCCCATTCTTCGTCCTGTACATCGCGAAACCTCTCTTCCCAAACGTCAACATACCGATCCAGGCGTTCGTGATCGCGTTCTGGCTCGGATACATGAACTCTGCCCTCAACCCATTCATTTACACCGTCTTCAACAAGGACTTTCGCCGCGCCTTCCGCAGGATACTCTTCAAATAATCCCGTCGTCCCTGGACGAACGCTCACGAACGGGTTCTTCCAGGTAAAAGAAACGAGAATCGAAAGGCGCGCGGATCGCTCTCGCGGTTGGACCGGGGCGGTGCCGCGTCCACCATAGGATCCAGCAAGAGCATTTGAGGGGAGAACGACGGGGGATTGGCCACGCGCGAAATTTCCTCGATCGACCGCGTTCTTCCAGCGTTTCGCCAACAGGTTCTCGAGATTTCCGACCGGTTGTCGATTCAACGCCATCGAAGACGGATGATTCGAATCAAACACGTTGCTCCCTCCGTTCTTGACACACTTGAGGAGAGATCGTGAGCCTTTTCTCCATCCTCGCCCACCATCTATCGCCTCCCTTCTCCGGGAGGAGCAAGAAGAGAAATATACGCCTGTCCTCGATATTCCGATAGGCGTGCACCAGCCATTTGTATTCCTCCCTCTCCGAGTTCCTTGGACGGACACACGGCCCGATTGTAAATTAAACGTCGCGACAATCCACTTACTATCGATGTATCGTGAAAATGTAGATATGTATAGCATATGCGTGTGTGTACATAATACCGCGCCTCCCTGCCGAGTTTCCGTATATTAAAGATATATATCTATGTATATATATATATATATATATATATATATATATATATTATTATAGAGG